TAATTGGTGTTCTAATGAATCATTATGTATTCTTAATCATATCATTATGTTCCTATTGCATATAATTAAAAGTTTCAACCAATCATAAGTATCCATGTACGATAGTCTGGAAAAACAAAAAAATACTTTTTGACCTTTCTCGATCGGCCACTCATTAGAATTCTGTTGGTAATTCTCTTTAGCTAATTATGAATTAATTATGGACATGTGAGACAAACTGGTATTTTTCCAAGTCATTAGAACACATCTACTTTATATTCATATAAGTATTAGCATTTTCATTTTCATAAATGAAAAAAAAAGGAACCAATCTTTAAGACCACCGCGTATGTTTTTACCATCATTAAAATAGTTTTTGAGTTTATCGCCATTTGTATCATTGTTAGTGATTATTCCGGATTGTAAAAATGGTGGAACGTTGGTGGAAGAAAATGGAAAATTTAAATGTAACTGCCCACTAAACACATTCGGTGACGATTGCAGTAAGTACAAATTAAAAAAAGAAATTTACCAATCTCTCCTCGCTCGTCTAGTCGTTCAGATTGGACAATAAACTGAGGCCCCGTGTGCTTAAGGCTGTACACAGTTGGAAATCGAACAAGAGTAGGATAATGCCACTGTCCTGGTAAAAATTTCCCTCATTGTACACTGCATGGCGTTATCCGTCTCAATTAGCCAAATTATAAAAGTAGAACGTAAAATTCCATTCATTTCATTTTTCAGATTGTCGATTCAAGTTTACAAATGCAACATCTTTGTTTCCCAAACCCTACGCAGAAAGATTAGTGTCTGATTCAGCGGAATGTGATGAAAACTGTGCTAACGATACCAGATGTTCCACTTCTACCATGACTTATCTTAAAAAATGTAAACTTTACGAAACACCAGTCATCTTCGTGTCGTATGACGAAGACCTATGTATTGAAAAATGCAACGAGATGAGTGAATGTAAAACGATTGGCACTGAAATGCATAATGTGAGTTTTTCCTGTTATGTATATAACGCCACCTTGGACAAGATTCCAGATAAAATGAAACGATCTTACTATTTTACTTTTACCGTAGCAGAAAAAATCTGCGAATAATAAAAAAAACATGTTTATCATGATATAGACCTATCTCTTTTTTATTTTTGGCAATAACCTTGGGCATAAGGGGGTGAGAACCGACTCTAAGAAACAAAGGCACAGGCATCAAAATTATTCTTACTTTCGAACCCAATGCACCTAATCACCTAGCAGACTATAATCCAACTCGCTACCGACTGAGCTATTCTAGAAACTATGTATTAGGGGGGTTAGAGCTGACTCTAAGAAGCACAGGCACAGGCATCAGAATTGTTTTTACCTTGAGGAGGATTCAAACCCACGGCACCTAATCACTTAGCAGACGACAATGAAAGAGATATTCTAGCATGGGCAAGGATAGGTAATGATCGTTTTATATTGAGAGTAAACGAGGTTCACTATATACCCTTGAGGTTGACGTAGATAACAGAGGATAAAGGCATTAAAACGCAGCCGTATTGCATTGGATACGTCTACAAGAAGTCCAAGAAACCGAATTGTATCACTGCACGAGCATAGATCATAGAGAGTCTCACATGTCTTGTGTGTACTTCAAATAAGTGAAAGAAATGAGTTGCCGATGATACTAAACAAGAGTACCCCAAATGGACACAGGAAACGCGTCTGGCCACTCTTTCTCCAACTGGATACTCGATTGGTCTGTGCGCTTAGTCGAGGGCAGTGGACTGCACGCATGGTATTAGGCATCTGTGACACATAGTCCACTTCTCAATAGACACTCCATGTTACCAAATGGACTAGACTTGGTCCTGGAACGGCAGACGAAAAGGTGTCAGAGATTCAAAAAGCAAATAGTTTGCTTAAGTCGACACTAAAAAATATGGAAACTCATCTTTAACTATATAATTATATGTTTATTACATATATTATTCAGAACATACAACAATGTATTCAGCTAACTGTTCATACACTTCACTTAAAACATTTTATTTCTAAAATACAAAATTACAAAATTACACAGCCAGAGCAGCAACAGTAAGCGTCCTCTTCTTCCTTTTCACGTCCTCTTCTCTTCTTCTCCACCTGATCTCCCACCGTCCGAAACTTCACCTCTCCATCCTCGTCTCCCACCGTCCGAAACTTCACCTCTCCATCCTCCTAGTCTCCCCGGAACTCTGTCAACCCCCCAATCCTGACCCTCCTCAACTTAACTCTCTCTGGAACCTCCTCCCTCTCCTGTCCGAAACCAGCTCTAATCCACTCCTCTTGTCTCTCTATACAACATTCCGCTTCCCTCTCCTGCCTACTCTCTTTCTCTACCACGCCTTCCGCCAAAACCTCAATCTCCTCCATCCGTTTAAAAAATTCAACAATCTGGTGTCTCCTAAGCTTTTTCTCCCTTTCCCTCCTCATCCTTCTCCTAGCCTGCGACAGTTTCTTATTAAACCTTGCTGTAGTTGTGTCCTCCATCTCTCTAGCTAACTCTTTCCATGCAGTACCTTATATGCATTTTCCGAGTCTTTACATCCTGTATAAGGTTTTATATCGGGACCCCATAAAACGACCGATTTCAATTATTTGTATATACATGTATATGATACATAACCCTATAATTGTGGTGACTATGTAAATATCCCTGTATAAGGTTTTATATCGGGGCCCATTTCAAATATGCAACATAGTTACGTAATGTATGTAAATATAAATAATCAATCTGTATTCTGGAAAGCTTAGAATGTACCCTACCTACTGTGAATACTTCCTTCCATGAGACTTGATTCAGAATCATGTGATGTCTTTG